AATACTCTATTTAAAATTTTCCCTAAATATTAATCATACCATTCTTATGCTTTTTTTTCAATAACTACATCAAAATAATAAAAAAGTGAGAGAAAATGTGTTTTGAGATTAAAGATTTTAAAGAATTCAGGAATGAATAACTGTGTCTATCATTAGTAGAAAATAATAATAATCCAAATAAAAAATATGAATAATTTTGGAGTTTAATTCAAGTAAATGACACACGTGCAATGATCATGTTGAGAATATTTAATCTAATAAAAAAAAGACTAAACTGTTGTTGCCTGAATATTTATAAAACTGACGGAATGCATATATCATGCTAGAAATACGATACTAAGCTAACAATATCTAAATGAATCATCTAGAATGCTCAAAGTTTGCACAAGCTATTTCAAATAACCAAAAAATAAAATAAACTTTATATTTAAATTGGCTGCTAAAACAATGCCTAAAAATAAAGTTGAAGACGCAACTTTAAAATGAATTATATGATCATTAATCCACTGAATTACTGCCCATATTAAAGGAGTACCAAGCACTTCGTTTTCAATGAAATGGCGAAGTTCTCGATTCAGAGAATCGCAATCGAAAGATGAACTTCGTACAAATACTGAAGGCTTCATTATTACTGGATATTCAGCACTTAATTGGATCATAACTTCATACTGTGCGCCGTCAAGATGCTAAAATGCGAAAATACTTCATGCCAAACATGCATTGCTCTTTCATCAAATTTTAATCAAACAATAGAAATATGGAAAAGTGTGGTAATTGATAAGAATCGTAAGATGGTCATAAACCTCAGATTAATCATATTGTTTCAATTTTGATGCCATGTTTGTTAGAACAATATGAAACACTTTACCAGGTTCATGATTAACTGTGTCACTTGACCAATCTCCGCCTCATCATCAGATTCGTAAACTCTTAACTCTTCCGATGTATACATAGATTTTAAAAAACTGAGTTCCTCCACCAGACTTTGCTTGCATGTCTTTTCTAGTCCATCCATGCAGCTAATCTACAAAAAGATATTCATCCCAACTTTTCCATTCCCGCTTCTAGCACTCCCCAAACTCAAACAGTTCTAATCCACACTGCTCCATCAAATGTCTTGGAAATGCTTCAACATTTTTTCATGTGATTATTCACTGTAACAAAAAGAGATCATTTATAATATATTTCATTTCATTTCGCCTTAAATGTAAAAAAAAATATACGATAAAGGAATAATATACCTTACAAAGAGCGAAAACAATACAATAATTGCGAGAATGTGAAGAAAGCAGATAATTAAATCAAACATTCTACATAAGCTGTTTGATTTAAAATAATTTAATAATTTAGCAAGTATTTTATTTTCGAAATATTGACTATAAGCTATGCAGCATCAATAACAATGATGCATGCATTTAAGACATGAGAAAATTTATTCATTATTATTGAAATAAGTGAAAAAAATAAAACTGTAATATGAGAACCACAAAGCAGTAAGAGAAAATAACAGTGAATCTGCAATATTAAATAGCAGAAAGAACCTGAAAAAATGAAAAGACGATTAATAAAGCACAATATGTAAAATAATCATTACTATTAGCAAAATTATAAAATAAAACAATAATATGCCAATTGATCAGCTAATCAAGCAATAACTGCTTGAAATGATTAGAATGAAGAAAGTACAAAAAAGAGCAATGAGACAATATTTGCAATCTTTGGTGAAAGAATCTTTTAAAAAGTGTGAATTAAGTTAAACACTCAAGACAATATAAAATTTAAAAACAATATAATACAATATACATACAACATTTCATTAAAATGTTTGTAAAGAAATATGAGGATGAATCTATTAATATTTATTATTATAAGAGGAGAAAATGCAAATATTTACAAACTTTAAAGCATTTTCATTAAGAGTAATATTTATGTTAGTGAAAGATTTAAAAATTGATACGTTATCAGCTGTAACAGAACACAAACACTCACAGAGAAAGGTAAATTTTTAGAGTTTCATAACAAATACATATTTTAAGTAGAATTTGCAATGGTATGCATGCACTTTGAAGTTATCCATTTTACATTAAATGCTAGAGTTTATTATCTGATTAGTTATGAGAGTAATTTCATTGTGTAACATGTTAGTCTGGAACATCGGATCTAACTACTGATATGATAAATGGAACAACGATTAGAACAAGTAGGCAATTCAAAATAACAGAAGCAATAAAGACATTACGCCATATATTGTGCCGATACTCACAAGGTAACGGACAACTGAAGTATGGAATTTCCTCAATCGATTCACTTGCTTCTTCTACATTTTCGAACAAAGTGGTCATTACAGTTTCGATCTGTAATGTTTGACGATTTGAAATATATGGTGACATAAAAAATTGTAGGCGTATCATAGTTTTACACTACTTTGATAACTAAACAAAATAAAAAATGTTCGGAATAAATTAAAATTATAGTTTTACCAATGACCAATTTTGCGATTATGGACCAATTAGAAATGAATGTTTTTTTTAAAAATTGAAATACCAAAAATTTTTGTAAATAAGAAGTGCTTGACTCAAATAAGCTTGTTTCTAGAAATTTGCTTTCTCTAACAAAATTTCATCAATTATAAAACTCATTTGGCCACAAAATACAACAGCAAATGAGAATGAATTAACTTACTGTTTTTTCGTTAATGATATCTTCTGGTACTAACTTTGCAGCAAGTTTAGCAACTACTTCTTCCTTCAGTTCAGTATAATTTCGATGCACATGTTTCATGTGGAATTTGTACCACTGATCTAAACCATACGTCATTTTACTCAAAAAACACGAAATATATAAAACCAGCTCAGAGAAATAAGCACTGAATCAAACCAAATATTTTAAACATGACTGACTTATTTCTGACATTAATTTTCCGAAAATATTTTCAAAAAGTTTCAAGTTATTGCAGTGATGTTGAATGAGAATAAGAAAGAAATTACCGATACTAATTTGAACCGCGATGAAATTGCCTAACTGCTCTAACAACAGAAGTTCATAAAATTCCAAAGTGCGATTCAAGCAGGATAAATCGTTATCATATATGGAACAGTGGCTTCTAAATCACAATTATTTTGAAAATGAGCATGAATAAAGTAATCGAAAAAAAAATTCCTTTTATCAGTGAATCACCGCTCGATTTCAATAAAAAAACAGTAAACATGTAATTCTTTTACAAAATGAAAAATAAAAAACCTCATTAAAAAGAGCTCAGATCTCATTTCAACTTTAGATGATAGAGCACTAAGAAAAAATTTCTAAAAGAAACTAACGAGCAACCATCAACAGTTGAGTTGTCACCCGTTTTGTAGTTGAGAGACAATACACAGCGCACAATTAAAATAAATACAGCAGTTAGCTTCATCATTAAAATGGAATCCTTCAAGAAACATAAAATGAAGTCAATCTGAAAATAACATTCTCAACTGTAATAAATTTGCATAAACATACTAAATCTAGCTTCTACCACTTTCTCACTAGTGCGCACTTGACATATCGATATATTAGAGTTGGACATCAGTTTATATGTAAGCCTAAAAATAACTTAATTATTCTTTCTTTGATGTAATTTAAAGTATTTTGGAACTGATGCAATCACAAATCATCCCCAAAACTCAATTCTCAAGTAGACAAAAATAAAGCTTAGCTTTCAAAAAACCAGACAATCTATACTACATGGTTAGGCAATCTAACTGATGAGCAGATGAAAAAAATTATTCCCCAATTAATAAAAAATACCACAGATGAAACTGATTAGAGTTTCCTGCATAATAAAAATTACAAAAGAATTTATCACGAAGATCTGACGTGTTGTTTAAAATTGAAGATATAAAATCGAATCTCTTCATAATGTCATCCTTCATTTTTATTTAAAATGACAGTCAAAAGAGCTAAAGATTCGAAACATAATAAATGAGTATTTAGAAAATATTTCTTTCTGAGCAATTAAAAAATATATTTCTGCACAATAATAAACATATCAATTACTTATAGTACGGCTTTTAATAGAAACAAGAATAGAAAAATGGAGAAGGCTTTACTATTTGTGAACGAGGAATATTTGAGGAGATATACAGACAAAGTATTCTCAGTAAATTTGCATTTCATCAAATGTGTTGCTGAAAATTGAACGTATTAGTAATAGTATGAATCTTAAAACACCATACTCAATTCCTAAAAATTAAAGTACCTATTATAGAATTAGTAATCAAAATAAGAAAAAATAGAACAAAAAATTGTTCCGCCCATTCATTTCTTAGATTTTACTGCTAGATATTTCTAACTTATGCACTGAAACGCATTCTGCAGAACAATTCGAAGAACTTTTGTTCTTTCATGCATTCACAAACAACAGTAGTCGTCAATGTCGAAAAAGAAATATGAATAAAAGAGTATGAGAAGATAAACAATATACACTCAAACCAAAATAAAAGTAATAAAGTATAATTAAACTTTGCTACCGATACTTGCACAAAATCTTTTCGTTATATTCTTCGCACGGAACACATGTAAAAAAAAATTTTTTCATGTTGACTTTTACATTGGAACATGTGAAAAGAGATAAGATACTGATTCACCATTGTGCGTACGTCGAATTGCTTCAGCCAAAATCATTGATATATCAATACACTGTAGAAGAAATAAAAATTATTTCCTTAACGCTGACAAAATGACAACTTTTTAAAATTCATTCTAAAACTAGGAAAAAATAAATAAATAAAGTAATACTTGAATTTTAGGACATTTTTTCATGTTTTCTTCCTGAGATATTGTATTAGTGACAACAACTGCTTCAAATACTGAATTATTAAGCCTTTGAATTGCAGGTCCAGAGAAAATACCGTGCACACAAAATGCATATACCGAACTTGCACCTGCTTCGACCAACCTGATAATTCTTCTTTACCTTTGAAGTATTTTAATCACAACTTTTCTTTCTGTTATATTATTACACACACGGTAAATAGTATTATATTATATACATTACTTACTTTTCAGCAGCTAAACAAATTGTTCCACAAGTGTCAGCCATATCATCAACCAACAAAGCAACCTAAAAATCATTACAGAAACTTCACGAAACTACCAATTAACCATATCACTAAGTACTTCATTTTTTAATGAAATTTTAACACATGATAAACTGAAATAAGTGAAAACTTACTCGATCACGCACATTACCAACAAGCGTCATTTTTTCAACTTCATTTGCTCTTTTACGCTCTTTATGAATCAATGCAAAATCGATATTTAAACGATCAGCGATTGAGGTCACTCTGAAAAGTAATAATAAAATACTTCTACTTCACTGAATAAACTAAACATGATTCCAAAGCAGGTTACATTTCATGTTTGAAATGTTTAATATGTTCATAGTGCTACAAAAAATACCGCTTAGCACCACCAGCATCGGGTGATACAACGACTGCTTCTTGCCAATGTGGGATTGTTTCCTTGATATACTTCAAAATAGCCGGCTCTGCATATAAATTATCCACTGGTATGTCGAAGAAGCCCTGACAAATTTTGCAAATATAACATCGACGAAAAGTACTAAAACACCTCAACCGATATTTAAAAATTAAGTAAACAAATAATTAACAAACTAAATAGATGTACAGTACAAAGCCTAAAAAAAACTACATTCTTCAGCGTATAAAACCTGTATTTGAGAAGCATGCAAATCCATTGTTATGATATGGTCAGCTCCTGCTACGGAAAGCATGTTTGCAACAAGCTTGGCACTAATTGGTGCACGGGACTTATCCTACAAAAAATATACTAAACTTTTAACTGGAAAAAGTTTTAGAAGATTCTTTTTCTAATAATGTAAAAAATTTTTGTCGAAAATTTGTATAACCAAACATATGAGTGAAAAACTTAAATTCAAAATGAACACTACTACAGTGCCACTTTAATATGATATTTAATGCATAGCGAAAAAAAAGAAAAAACGAAAAATAACGTACAATACAGCAGAACTTAGCTAACTCTTCAAAAAACTACAGTTTTAAAAAGATTAAGAAACATTGAAGCGAAGTATGGTAGGCTACCTTTTTGTCTTGACGTGCATAAGGGAAACAAGGTATAACAGCTGCAACGCGACATGATGAAGCAATTTTACAAGCATTTATCATTATTAATAATTCCATCAGATGATCATTGATCTCACCACATGCACTTTGGATGATGTATACATCTTCTCCTCTCACACTTTCACCGATTTCGACATTCGTTTCCTTAATACAAAATATGTCCAAAAGCCAAGTTTTGCAAACAGCAGCAAAAATAAGTACCAAGAACGACTTAAAAAGCTATTTCCGTGTTCAAATCATCGATGGCAATTTATCAATCAGTTACACAATTTGTATTCTGTCTACGATTGAATAAGCTGATGATAATATACCACAATTTTATTTGCATCACTATTTAAACGATAATGAATATTTTTTATGAAAATTATTTTTCGATAATAACGGTGCCATAGAAAAATGACTCGTTTTTATCGATGCACACGAGATATTTTTTAATTCTTGAATTATCTTTGATAATATGTTATTGATGAAAATAATTGGTTCCAACCATCAAATAAAAGGTATTACTTTATTGCTAAATTTTTTGAGTGACGCTTTAGCAAGATCTAATTGAAGTCGGTGGCAAATTCTTTCTGACAAATCCCGGTGTGAGGAACCAGAAAATACCTAAAATAATAAAACACAAAGATCACTCATTTTACAAAAAGAATTATTCTGAAAGAAATTTCCAATAAAAACCTAACATAAAGATATTAATGCTGGATATACATTATAAGAGACAGAGCAATAAAAAAGTCATACTTTTATGTTTGGCATTTTTACTTCTCCTTGTTGTCCCAATGCAGTAAATGAATGACACTGATTTGACTCAATGATTACAAATAAAATCTAAAAGAGAAAATGGCGGAGAAAGTTTCCACTACATTCAGTGTCAAAAAGAAAGATATGTCTTGTTTCAATTGACCACCAATACAATTGTTTCAAAAAATAGTAAAAAAAAAAAGAGTTCAGCGAGAACAATCAGAAAATATAAGGCAGAAAACAAGTCTGCTAATTCAAAGTTAATCCAAAGTACAAATAATATACTAAAACTTACATCAACATATTCTTCAAAAAACCTTAAATTCAAATTTTGTCAACATAAATGCTGCAAAATTATGCAGCATTTTTTACTGCTTCTCTACAACAAAGCGAAATATCTCACATCCTGGCTTTCCGGCAAAAATCAAAAACATTGATTGAAATAAATGAATGATGATGATATGAGGCATGATTTTAAGGCATAACAATTTTTCCTTATAATAAACAAAACAAGCTAATTCGTTAAACGGTGGTTCAAAAAGCTTTTTTCAGTATTAAAAATTGATATCTGATATTTGTTAGGTATTCAGTGAAGAAATATAAAGCTTTATCATAACTTTGTAAATTTTATTCTATATAAAATTTATATATGAAGTATACATTATAAATATAAATATAAATATATATATATATATATATA